GTGTCTGGTAGAGCCGAGCGCTGGCTTAGACTGGCAAGGCTAACGAGGAACAGCCATCAGGGAGAGAAGGGCTCGGATCCCGGTCTGCTGGTGCTGGCTTTCTACTGCTGGCAGAGTCAGGGATACGGCAAAGCAGGTGGTTTTGGGACTCGGTCTCCTTGGGCGGGGAGAGAGGGCCTGCTTTGGCACCGCTGCTCGGGTCTGCCATTCCAGCTCGTAGATACGTTCCTGACTGTGTCGGTGTTGTCAGCCTTGCGCAGGCTCTCTGCACACATCTCCAGGGAAAATTGGCAGCTCCCCAGAAGAGAGGGCTTGCCTGGACACAGCAGGGCTCCCGACAGGAAGGCGGCCTGGCCTCTTCGTCATGCTGGTATTGCGTAGCTGTAGCTGTTCTCTTCCCAAATGAGTTCTCTTCCCCTCCCCCAGCAAGGGAAGCTGTTGGCTCTCTGCTCAGCCCTAGGGAGGTCACACCTGGACATTGTGTCCAGTTTAGGCCTCTCCCTTTATTCAATCCCTCTTCCATCCCCAGGGATGCTGGAGCTCCCAGGCTGGTCAGGGCTTGGGGCAGAGGGGCTGAGAGGAGGACTGGGGAGCTGGGACAGCTTGGTGTGGTGAGGAGGTGGCTGGGGCTGTATCCAGTCACAGGTACAGCGATGTATGAAGGGCAGTGAGGAGGATGATGTGGTCAAACTCCCTTGGCAGCCATGGCAGATGACATAATAGGAGAATGTGGGAAGCTTGGCTTGGATATTAGGAAAAAAACAGCTGGTGGGGAGATGTCTCCATCCACAGAGGGAGGCCTCAAGCATCACTCAAACCAGACCAGGCTGCCCAGGTCCCTTACTGGCAGTATTCCTATAGTGAGAGGGAGGTTGAATCAGAGACCACCTGGAACTCCTTTTACCTACATGCTCCTGTGGGTCTGAGCCCTGGTTCCTTTGGTACTTCCCAGCGTGCTTTAAGAGCAGTTCTTCGTGTGTCTCTCTGGCTTACTTTTTGCTGCTTTGGCTTGCAGTGTTACTCAACAGCTCAGGAAAAACAGCCATGACTCTGAAAACCCGTCAGTGCTGCTGTGGCTGGAACCACGTGTCAGGCTGCACCGGCCTCGTGGGTTGGACCTGGTGCAGAGTGCAAGCACAGCAGGGGAAAGGGATGGTTAAGGCAGGAGTTTGTCCTGCCATTAAGTTAATTTTTTGACTATACCTGCACTTCTGGGCTTGCATCCAAGGCCTGAAGTACTTGTGCGGTTTCTTCCTGCCTCCATCACTTTGGATGTGTTCTTTATTCCCCCCTGAGCTGGTTATTAATTATGGAGACTGCAGAGATGAAGTCCAGACTCTGCTAATGGTTGACTTCCCCGTGTTTTAGAAGCAGCATTTCAGTGACCTGCTAATGGTGTTTCTTAGCTTTTCTTTTTTAAGCTCCACCATCATTTCGGTTTCTACTCTGAGCGAGGCAGGTAACGGTGTTTAAGTGTTGGCTGTCTCTCTGGGCAGATCCCATATGCAGCACGCTGCTCATCTCCCTGGGTTGAAATGTCCTCCTTTTCATGCTGGCAGGGAGCGTGGAACAGCCTTGCCTGGCAGCATTCAGGCAGTGCAGTGACCCTTGCTGGGTGACGCCTCTCAGTTTCCCCGAGCTTTAGGAATCGGGGAGCAAATCCATCCTGAGCACTGTGCCGAGCCCCAGCGATCCTCACAAAGCCACCAACCCCTTTGCTCCTAGCGGCCAGCTCCCCTCTCAGCCTCTAAAGCTGCCTGGCCAAACCCCAGTGCAATCTCATCTTTTCTCTCCCAGCCTTGTTATTCCTTCTCCCCCTCTCCCAAGGAGGCCCAAGGAGCGGACGCTGGGCTTGCTCCTCCTCCCTGCCCCATCCGGGCTGCGGGCGCTGCCGGCCTCGGCGCCGGCTCTGTCTGCCCTTTGCTCTCCCTGGCCCGCCTGGCCCGTCTCCATTCCCATGGCAGGATCCCCTAGTCCCTGTCACTGCTGCCTGGCTGCCTTCACTGCTGCCTGCTCCCCCAATCCTCTGGGAGCTACAGCTCTCTTTCTCCCATCCTGTTCCCGTTTCTCCACTGCTCTGATGTGGGCAATAAACCCTGTGTTTTTCTTTGTAGACCGTGCCAGGCTGTTCCCTGCCTTCCCTGATGCTTCCAACGTGCTGCTGGTCAGCAAACCTCTGTGCAGGGATGCAGGGATGTGCAGGAAGGAGCTGCCTGCATCCCCTCCTCCCCGAGCTTAACCTCAGCGTTAGGGGAATGGGGAGGGAAGGACTTGGGAAAGTGGGAACAATGAGAGTGCAAAATCTTCTCGGTTTGGTTTTTCCAGCTCTGTGTGTTCACATCCCCCGGGACATATCCCTGGTATCAGATGGCAGCAATGGCCTGGGAGTCCCTGATCCCGTTTTGCAATCCCCCAGTCTCAGCCAGCAGCTCGGGCCTTCCTGTAAGTGCCCTGATGGTCACGGGGAAGGAATGTTCCCCCGGCCGCATGGGGAAAGGTCACCACGGGCAAAGGGGACGCTGGGACTGGGCCGATGAGGGCAGCGCTGATCAGCACGGAGCCAAAAACATTCTGGCTTAGAGGGGAAATGGGAGAAAAAAAAAAGGCATTTGTAGAGGTTAAATATTTGGGGCAAGGCCCCACTTCCTTTCACAGGGCACATCTCAGAGCAGATGCAGTGCCCAGGCCAAGTCCAGAAGGATGTGTGTGTGTGTTCGTGTGTGTGTGTGTGTTTGATTGCTCTCTTAGCTGGAGGATGTTTGCTGCTGAATCTGCTCCCACAAACAGCTGTGTGTCCGCTCAAGTACTGCCTGGGATGGAGGTTTTGGCCAGTTACTGCTGCTCGGAGCAGCCCTTGGGCTGAGCAGCATGTTGTGGCTCCCTTCCCTTCCTACCCTGTGCCTGCCAACAAACCTCTCCCCTGGATGCAACTCGGAAGGAAAGCTGTGACTCGTGGTGGCTGCGGCCACAGTGGGATTAACATCCAATATTAAGGGCTTAACTCATCCCTGCCAGCCAGAGGTTCCAAATAACTGCCGTGCCTTGTGCCTGTTCCTTCCCACCCTGGAGTTTGTAGCTGCCTTGGCTAAGCTGGAGCTTGCTCCTGGCACTTTGTTTTGAGAGCCTGGCCTGTTGGCTGAGGCTCCTGGGGACGCTGTTCTCATTTATTGGGGCGGGGGCGGAGCGGAGAAAGGAGGAGGAATTTCTAGGTTGGGCTTATGAACCCGAGTTTTTCAAAATTCCCAGCATGTTAAAAAAAAATACAAAGCTAATCTGGCCCTTCGTCTCTAGGTTACGTTTGCCTGGACCGGGGCTGAGCTCATGGAAAATTGCAGCTTAGCTCCTGTGCTCCCTGCCAAGATTAGTAGGTTTAAAAACTAACTGATAACATCTTTGTAAACTTGGAGTCATTTCTCTAAAGCCTGCTGATCCTTCCAGCCTGGATTTTGGAGCTTTTCTAGAGATCCAAGAGAGCCAAGCAGGGTGATGGTATCTGCCCCGAGAAATCACCCTGGAGCATCACAGTGTCTTCAAATACCCCGAGGGAGGAAGGAGGCTGCTGTTCCCCGAGGCCCTGAAGGGTGTGTTGGGATCCCTCTCCCTGTTCCTAACCAGACACACGGCACACAACCACGCTCTGCACGTAACTTATAATAATCACCGGTTTTATTTTTAAAAAATTACAATAGAAAAGTACCTTTAAACATATTTCCAAAAGCGGAGTAGACAATGTGGAAGCTTCTCTCCTCTCCACGACACAAAGTACAGGAAATAGTTTGCTAAAAGAGTTAGTCTGTCATTTGGGAACGCCGGTATCGTTCCTTTTAGAACCGCTCTGAGGTTTGTCTTGGATTTGATTTCTTCTCACATCACTTTTATCAGTCCCATTTTTTACAGAAGACTCCAACGGGATGGTTTCCCAGCACGAAAAATCCCATTTTCTTATCGCCCTGCCCCACCCCGACAGCCGGAATCTCAGCTGTCTTATTTTGGCCCACCCACAGGACAAGAGGAAGGAGGAAGGAAAAGGTGATGATGCTAAATGAGGCCACGGACAGCTGGGAAACTGGCTACAGTGAGGCCTGGGCAGCGGCTGAGCTCAGTGTTCCTTGCAGCTGGAATGAGGACGTGGGAAGGCATTGGAAGGAGGAGTTTTGCACCTCCCTTTGCAGGAAACTGAGACCTGATTTGAGGTTTTGGGTTGGTTTGCTCTGTTCTTTTCTTTTCCCAAATTCCTCCTGGAGCAAGGAGAAGGAGCAACTAGTACGTCAAGCATTCTCTGCTGGTACACTACCTCCGTAAAGGGCGTTGGCAGCTTCCCTTCTTGTCTTTGCACATGGAAACGTGGGAATACCACGCAGCGAGCAGCCAGACCAGCATAACCTTGGTGCTAAAACCCCAGTCCAGCGCTTCGGCGTAGCAGGAGTTTTTCTCATACAGCAGTTTACGTTGCCTGTAACAGCTTGAAGCAGCCATGGCAGGAGGAGGAGGAGGAGGAGGAGGCAAATTGTCACCTTGCTACATGTGCGGGCCGTGTGCCCATCCCTGATCCGAGCCGTTGCACCCCGCGGAAGCTTTGCACAGCAGCTACGAACACAGCCCTAAGGTACAAAAAACACCGGAAGAAGAAAGTTCCTGATTGTCCTGCCTGGTTGTCATTTGGTACAACTGGGAAGAAGACAGTAATACTGTAGTGTCCGCAGACGTCCCGCCGACGCGGCCGGAGCACAGTTCCTGTGCCGGAGGGAAGCACAATTCCTACAAACCCGCATGGTGTGTCTCGACATCCGCACACGCGTGAACATCATGCCTTCGACATGCAGCTGACAGGGCCAGGGGGATAATAA